GGGATGCAATATTGAACCCCTTGGTCACCAACGCAAATGAGCTCAGAAGTGACGTCAAGATTGGAGGCATCCTGGGCTGCAGTGAGCACGCACTGGTGGAGGTTGCAGTCCTGAGGGATGTGGGTCAGACTAAGAGTAAGGTCAGGACCCTCAACTTTAGGAAAAAAAAATTCCAGCTCTTTAAGAAGTTAGTCAATAGAACCTCCTGGGAAACTGCCTTTGGGGACAAGAGAGCAGGACAGAGCTGGCCAGTCTTTAGGGACACTTTCCATAGAGTGCAAGAGCTGTTGATCCCCAGGCGTAAGAAGTCAGGCAAGGAGGGCAAGAGACTGGCATGGCTAAGTTGAGACCTGCTGGACAAACTAAGAGGCAAGAGGGAACTGCACAGGCAGTGGAAGCAGGGACAGGTATCCTGGGAAGAGTGCACGGATGCTGCCTGGTTGTGCAAGGATGGGGTCAGGAAAGCCAAGGCATGGATGGAGCTGAACTTGGCAAGGGATGCTAAGAATAACAAGGGCTTCTCCAGGTATGCCATCCAGAAAAGGAAGGTCAAAGAAAGCGTAACGCCTGCGATGAGCAAGACTGGCAAACTGATAACAACAGACGAGGAGAAGGCTGGGGTACTCAACAAGGCTTTTGCCTCCGTCTTCACTGGCAACCTCTCTTCTCACACCTCTTGAGTGGGTGGACTGCAAGACAGGGATTGGGGGAGCAAAGTCCCTCCCACTGCAGGAGAAGATCAGGTTTGTGACCACCTGAGGAACCTGAATACACAGAAGTCTATGGGACCCGATGAGATGCATCCAAGAGTCCTGAGGGAATTGGCTGATGTAGTTGTCAAGCCACTTTCCATGATATTTGAAAAGTCATGGCAGTCAGGTGAAGTCCCTGAAGACTGGAGGAAGGGAAACATTGCACCCATTTTTAAAAAGGATAGAAAGGAGGACCTTGGGAACTACTGACCTGTCAGCCTCACCTCTGTGCCTGGGAAGATCATGAAACACTTCCTCCTAGAAGCTATGCTAAGACACGTGGAGAACAGGGAGATGAATTGAGACAGCCAGCATGGTTTCACCAAGGGCAAGTCCCACCTGACCAACCTCGTGGCCTTCTATGATGGCGTGACTACATCAGTGGACAAGGGAAGAGCTATGGATGTGATCTCCTGGACTTCTGTAAGGCCTTTGACATGGTCCCCCACAACATTCTTCTCTCTAAATCGGAGAGAGATGGATTTGATGAGTGGACTGTTTGGTGGATGTGGAATTGGTTGGAAGGTTGCATCCAGAGGGTAGTGGTCAATGGGTCAGTGTCCAGATGGAGATCGGTGATAAGTGGTGTCCCTCAGGGATCTGTACTGGGACCAGTACTGTTTAATATCTTCATCTATGACCTAGACAGTGGGATCGAGTGCACCCTCAGCAAGTTTGCAGACAACATCAATCTGAGTGCTGTGGTCGACATGCCTGAGGGACGGGCTGCCATCCAGAAGGACCTGAACAAGCTCAAGAAGTGGGCCCTTGTGAACTTCATGAGGTTCAACAATGCAAAGTGGAAGGTCCTGCACCTGGGTTGGGGCAACCTCCAATATCAATACAGGCTGGAGAATGAAGGGATTGAGAGCAGCCCTGCCCAGAAGCACTTGGGGGTACTGGTGGATGAAAAGCTGGACATGAGGCGACAATGTGCGCTCACAGTCCAGAAGGCCAACCATATCCTGGGCTGCATCAAAAGCAGCTTGGCCAGCAGGTCGAGGGAGGGGATTCTGTCCCTCTTCTCGGCTCTAATGAGACCCCACCTGGAGTCCTGCATCCAGCTCTGAAGCCCTCAGCACAAGAATGACATGGAGCTGTTGGAGTGGGGCCAGAGGAGGGCCCCAAAAATGATCCAGCAGATGGAACACCTCTTCCGTGAGGGAAGGCTGAGAGATTTGGGGCTGTTCAGCCTGGAGAAGAGAGGGCTCTGGAGAGACCTTAGTGCAGCCTTCTAGTACTTAAAGGGGGCCTACAAGAAAGCTGGAGAGGGACTTTTGACAAGGGCATGTAGGGACAGGACAAGAGGTAATGGCTTTAAACTGAAAGAGGGTAGGTTTGGACTGGATATAAGGAAGAAGTTTTTTACATTGAGGGTGTTGGAACACTGGCACAGGTTGCCTAGAGAGGTGGTCTGTGCTCCATTCCTGGAAACATTGAAGGCCAGGTTGGACGGGGCTCTGAGCAACCTGATCTAGTGGTAGATGTCCCTGCTTATTGCAGGGTGGTTGGACTAGATGGCCTTTAAAGGTCCTTCCAACCCAGCCTATTCTATGATTCTACAATGTGCAAGTAGCCTTCGGACATAGGATCATAGGAAGCAACACTGTTGATGTCAGGGTACAGGGTGGAAACTATTAGGGCAGTGCTGAAGGTGGGGGCCTGCGCACCACATCGCATGTAAGCAAGCGAGCAGCCACGTGTCCTGAAATGTGCACTGTAGCTACATCTGACTTCTTAACCCTTCAGTTCCATTCCAAGGCTGTCAACTTAGGGCATGATTTTGTGGAAAGAAAAAAAAAAAAGTTTTGATGGGATAATCTGTGTTTTTAGTGCCTGTCAGTATATTAGTTTCTCACTTTAGCTTCCTAAAGTGAGAATATACAAAGTGAGTTTTTTGTACAGGGAGTGTTTTTCTTTGCATTGCAAATTCAAGTGACCAATGCAGAAAGTCACTATGATCAGTATTAGAAAGAAATATGCCGTTAACAGAAATCGATTTTGTTCCAGCTGTCTAAAATTTCAGGAAAAACACTCTATAGTGCTTCAGCTTTCAGAAGATTTAGACATTTGACATTGATACAAGTCTGTAATAGCTACTTTTAAAGTGACAAAATGTAATACTGCCTATAGAATACTTTCTTCTTCCACCTAATTCTGTTCCCATTTTATGTGAACTTGTTCAGTCTGGCACTGCAGCCAGAGAACAGCCATTCCTGTCCAAATGAGCTTTCATCTGTCACTCAAGTAACAAATCCTCACACCTGTTACACGCTTGAAGTGCTGTAACCTGAGTTAATGCCCAAAGGCTAGTCTTTAACACCATGGAGTTCCACAGCTCAGATTTGCTTCTGAAACTTTATCCATTTTACTGTGCTCTTACCGTTTTTAAGTTTTGCAATTAAAAGTTACTCACTGTACTGACTGCTTCTTACAACCTCCTTTTCATATAAAGCCCTAGAGACTGATTTCAGGTTTAGATTTAAATGGAAAAAAAATGTGGAAAAACTTCCCATGAAATAGTTTATTGTGCTGTGGACCTAACAAAGAATAAGAAATATCTTTGGCACTTTTTTTGCATGCTACTGTTGATGACAGCCAAGATAACTAAGAGGTCACAAGGACGTGGGAGACACTGCAGCTGAAAATTATGTCTTTGAGTTTAAATCAGAATTGAACTGCAGTATGTGAGCAAGTACTGGTTATTTAGTGCTATTTTAAATTGTTACACAAGTATAGCTTACAGTATGACATTAGTGTATAGTTCTATAGAAAGAATGAAAACAAGCTGTATTTTCTTCTTCAGGGGTCATGGGTAGCTTTCTTCATGGCAGCTCATTGGGCCATTGGTGTTTTTTTAACTTGTGTATCCTGTGCAGGAGTTGATGAAGCAGGCAGAGTGTGGGATTTTGATCTGTTCCAGGAGCTCAGTGGAAGAGGGAAGAAAATAAGTGCCACTCTGTATATGCATGCTGAGAGAGTTAAGGTTAAGTCTACCGGAATACTAAGATAGGTACAAAGATGCCAGGGGACATCTCTACAATTACTGAGGAAAGCATTACACTTCGTGAGGCAGTGTGAAACCCTAGTCCCGAGACTGCGCTCATCTCCATGCACCAGGGATGCACTGCAATTTGTGAGAGATTCATTGTTGTCTAACCCTGAAGAAGCAGCTTTAACATGCAGCTGGTGCCTTCGTGACAGTCAGTCCGCACTGACAGGGTCCATCCGTGGGGAGACTCTGCTGACATACTACAGGAGTGTCCTGGATCCATGTAATGGCCATACAGCTATTAAATGCAGCCTTCAGCATAACCTGAGTGTACGAAGGAGGAATGAAGACTGCTGTTTTCTAAATAAATTTTAAATACTTGTAGAACTCAGACATTCATTAGGCTAAAGTGTTTGGAAGTTGAGGATTATGCTCACACTTTGTCCTGAAATAATTCATACTATCTTTTTGTTTTAAAGGTAATGTTAACACAAGACCTGGGTTGTGCTGTAGGTAGACAGGGACTCTGCTGCTGTTAATGCCTGCTGTTTGCTGACTGATGCTTCAAGCCAAGAATTGTTCAGCAGCAGCCCACCTCTGACCTGAACTCCTCTCTGCGTAGCTACATGACAGGGCATAGAGTCCCTCTTAAAGCTGATTGCCTTTAGGAGTGTCAAGAGAAAAGGAGATGCGAGCTTCTCTTCTTGTTTTCTGTTCTTGTTTTCAACTTGTAACCTCAGAGATCTCTGCAAGACAAGATTGTCCGGCTTGTCTGCAAGCGTAACACCTCTACCCACAGTTTCCTCTGTGCCCCTTCAGCCGCACTGCCGCAGCTTGCGTGGACTGTGCTGATGGGAGGCGTCTCGTGCTCAGCCTCCCTCACAAAGCTTATCTTCAGCCAGATTTTGATCGCTCTAACGCTTTTCCTCGCATTTGGGTATCACAGCAGCATATGGGCCAGTCTGCTGAAGACTCAGTTGTACACACACATAAACTGATTTAGACAGTTGCACTAGTATTTGAGGAAAATCCAAGCAGATATGAAGCTTGTTTGGAATACTAGCAAAAACAGGGTGTTCCTTAGGGACAGTAGGTTTAGTATTACTAATTTTGTGAGGATATTGAGAGTTTTAACACTAAAATACCTTCTAAAGCATCATTCCCAAAGAAATAATTCAGGGAATACTAGCTTGAATGTAATCTACTTTATGCAAGTGAAGAAGAGTTTGATTGTCTTTCTTTTCTCCAAACCATAGCTTTTGTCAGGAGCGATAAGCCAAAACTCTTCAGGGGACTGCAGATCAAGGTGAGTAGTAACCTAACTTTTTTTATTTGGAATGTTAGGAAGAATTAAGTTTGGTGGAGGTAGTCTTTCTGTGGATTGTTCCTTATTTGCTAATCAAGTAATCCTTTAGCAGAGGACATATATTTGCAGTCCCAGTATAAACATTTACAAGTTCATGCTGCTAATATTAATTGGGTTATTGCTCAGTAACTGTTTGGTACCAATTCTTTGTTGTTGTTGGTTGGGGTTTTGTTGTTGTTTGTTTTTAATCCATGAAAAAATACACTGGAACCCAAAAGTAATAGCAGATGGCAAAACAACAATGTGAGGAATGCTTGCATTCTGTCCTTGCTCTGTGGATATCTTGGATTTACTTAAGCTTATTCTGCCATGGTTTCCTTTTCTCCTATTCTCTTCTCCTCTCATTTTCTGATGGAGCTGCCATTTCCAGACATCAAGTAATTCTTAGATTTTTTTTTTTCTCTTCCCTCTCAGAATTTCCTTGCTGTGTTCTAGAATTCTGTTTTTCTTTATAGTCAAACATCCAGCTTTATAGAAATGCACATGCTGAATGATGTTTCTTGTGACTTGCATATATGCAAAGCTGCATAAGCTGCACTGCCTTAAGCTCAAACAATTCTTTGGTTTCAAGATCCAGTGTAAGACTTCACCTTCCTCTTAAAATCCTGTGTGAGCTTCCAGCGTACTTCACAGATATATATCTTGATTCTCATATCTTGTGCTCCCATCTCCATTCACCAAATGGCACCATCTGGAATCACTTCGTAGCTATGCATGGCTGCAGTAAGTGATTTGTCTTCTCAGCAGCAGATTCCATCTAAAACAGATTTCCTCTGTCTCGTGCATTCATGTCTCCCAGTCCTCCAGTTTCTTTCAAAAGCTTTCTCTCCTTCTACATGTCTGACTGTTTCATTTTTGTTTTAAACTCTGTGGCTGTATTGAACATCAAAGCAGTCTGGAATACAATTGGTACAGAGCACTATCAGAAAAAAAAAATAGTGTAAATGGATCTGTATTTATTTTACAAGACTTTCAGAAAATAGATTAGAGATGCCACTAGCTTCATTAAGTAAAACCAACTAGCTTAGCTCAGTAGGGTAAAGTAAAATACTCCTGGGTAAATCTTTCCATAAACTTAAATGGTTAGAGCCTTCTAATACTGTTAAAAGCTTTTATTTGCATTACGTATTTTGCGACTTAGTGAGTCTTCAGAAGCATTAAAGTATTATGTTACCAGCAAAGCTTCGTAGGCACAGATGCAACACAATGGGAAAGAATGTGATTACATTAGAAATTGATAGTAGAACTTCGAGCTGTTAAAGTGACCGGAAGTTTCTAAAATGGTGAAAATGCTATTGATGATATGAGAAAAATCATTCAGCTGCTTGATTTACTTTCCTCTCTTTGACATTAAATGCAAGTCAGAAGGCGGAACTGAAGCTGTTCCCTACTTGCTTGACTTAAGACAAGTAGCTCTGAGAAAGCATCTAATCCAGAGCTGCAGACACTGGCCAACTGCTGGCGGTGGAGTGTGCAACCTGCGGCATCTCTCTGTCTTTAAAGTTTCAGTGTGGTGTCTCCCCTCTTACTGGTTCTTCCCTCGCATACACACATGCACAAAACTGTAGCTTTGAAAACCTACTTCTTTGAATCTGGACAGCAGGTACTGGAGAGGGGGTAGCAGCATAGGAGAGAACAAGCTGAAAGACTGATCTCATAAGCTTAATATGATTTTTATAGATGTTTTCTTCAAGAAAAGTAGAATACATTGTTGTTAAACACTCTAGTAATGAAATTCATAAAATCAGAATAAAATACATGGCACTGGAATATTTACAGCATTGAGCATTGTCAGAAACAACGAAGCTCATTTGTTTTTTAAGAATTGTAAGCTTTAAAAAGCCAAAGCTTAGGTTGATTTCTTAGCACAAATTGTATTGCCAGAGTTTGCCCAGAACACTCTGATTTAATTTAGTGGTCTCTTCTTAACTATTCACACTCCATGGTGTGTCACTCTTTGGACTTTTTACTCTTCTTGTATTGACATCTTTTTAACTGATTTAAAACAATTAGGGAGGGAGGAGTGTTAATATAGAGAATGCATTTCCCAGATCAGGTAACTGACTTTTTGTTTGTTTTTTGTTGGTGGTTTTTTTTTTTCTCTCTCTTTCCCCCTGCAGTATGTGCGTGGTTCTGACCCTGTACTAAAGCTGCTGGATGACAGTGGGAACATTGCAGAAGAACTGAGCATCCTCAAGTGGAATACAGATAGCGTGGAAGAATTTCTAAGTGAAAAATTAGAACGTCTATAAATCATGGCTTTCAGTCCTCCTTCCTTTTTGTGTTTGTCATGGTAATCTTCTCAGATGTAGTATGCCACAATTGAAAAAACATTCCAGCTTCTGTATTTTAAAATATCTGTTGTGCTGTACTAAACATCTTCTAAGTAGAAGCAGCAGCTTCAGCACACATATCTGACAAGCTAACAAACAGAATAGCTTGTCTTAATGCATTTCAGCTCTTAATGCATTTATCACTAACAAAATGCTTTGTTTCAAAGTTAATTATGCAAATATCAGTTTGCTATAATTGGGTCTGTTTTTACAAATGCTCTTAAAACTGAAGAGCTTTAAATAATTTAAATGATTACCATGCTTTTTGTCTGCTGCTGTTTATAAGAAAGTCAGAACCAAATGCAACGTACTATCTCCCAAAGAAACTTGACTGCTAATGCCCTCTTCGTTTTTGAACGGTTGTTTTTATAGGAGCTTTGTTCACAGTGAGTATCTAGTTCACAGGTGTTGACGCTGACGGAGGAACTCATGCTCTGGTACTGTGAAACATTTTGTAAGTACACTTTAGTGAAGACTACATAGAAAACCCCTGAGGTATATGGAAGTCAGATGTCAGGTGTGCTTTACTTTAAGTGTTTTGCTTCAGAAAACATGAGATGCAAGTCTTGAAAAAACTTTCACAAGTTTATTGGAAGTCTGTTTATCAAATGAATTTATAAACTTCTTTCAAAATGTGTATTTTTCTTTCTCAGTGGAAATTTACATGAACAGGGGATACAGACAGTATGTATGGTAATGAGTCATCTGTTATGACTTGTCAGGTTTTTTCCACTTAGAGTCAATAAATATGGTAAGCAAGAATAATGTGGGTTTTTTCTGGTCTAATTAGCAAATAAGCCTTCCCCTTACATACTACATGCACACCAGTTTTTGGTTGGATAGGTGTTATGCCGTGGCCTGAATTGGTATTCAGTTTTTCTCTTCATGTATAACTTTATATCTGAAGAAATTTCTCTACAATTTGCAGCTTTTATTCCTAACTTCTGAGAAGAAATCATCAGCTTCATAGCAGAATAGTAAAATTGAGACTGAGACCACACTAAACTATCAGAAGGAATACACTAACGTGATTCTTTAGGCAGAGCCTTCTGAGTTTTTATTCTTGAAATATTCTTACAAATTTGTAGAAGGTGCATATAGCTAGCTTATATGATGTTGTCCTCTTTGTTCTCTTTCTCACTCTTATTCTATGCCTTTCACTCCTATCCTTATAAAACATGCTGGTCATCTCCCAGATGGTCTTGGTGTGGGACAGCTACAATAGTGGTCATCGTCTTAGAGAAATACGAACTCTACACAAAAAGCACAAATCTTTGCAGCTTGTGCTGACTTACCAGAGCCGAACATGGATTTGTTCTTGGGTCAAGCAATGTATTCGTCAGCAGATGAGCTACAACCAAAACATACGGCATGACAACCCAATATTTTGGTAGTAAAAAATATGCTGCTATCCACTGGTCTCTTAATATACTGACTGTATCCCATACTTCTCATTCCTGTGTTTGCCAGCAAGGGATTTCAGTTTCGATGTTGATGATTTATCGTGCTGGTTTAGCAGAATATTTTAACCTCATCCTTCTCTCCAGCCTTAGGTCCTCTTTACCACTTGAGAGAGATTGTTTGCTTCATTTGGGGTTTACTAAATATTTCTCTCTGCTTCTCTCTCAGTATTTCCTTCCTCCTCCTCCTTAACATGATGGCCAGTGGGTTTTTGACCTTCATACTCCCTTTTCTTTTCATGTCTTCCTGCAGCCAGCACACTGACGTGTGGAAAGCAGACTCCACAGTCTGTAAGATTGTAAAGTAGGTAAGTTTATTTGGTGCCGGGCAGCACAGGGGGTAGTCCCACCAAAGTCGTGCACGCCGAGCAGCAACATGTCTCTTCAATTTATACAATCAAGTATTACATATACATTAGATTTCCCAATACACCTATACATATGCATCTATCCTCATTGCATATCAAAATCAGTTCCAAGAAATAATTTCCATATTATAATTAGTTCCAAGAAGTAATTTCCATAGACTCCTCCCAGCTGCGCTTGCGCAGTGCCTCCTAGTGGTGGTCGTTGGGGGTCCCACGATGAAGGCCCATCCTCTTCATCACGGTGTTCGCTGATGGCCCTTTGTTTCTGCGCAAACTCAGTTCTCCCCTGGCTCCCATCCACACAGCAGGGCCGGTCTTGACCGGTTCGAGGCGACTCCCAGCCCCTGTCAGGAACTGACCCCTTTGGATGGAGATGCCAGACTCTCTGCTTCAGTTAATTTAGACAATAGATAGGCACTATCAATTCTCTTTAAATGCACAGCAACTATTAGGTAATGCCACTTCTGTTAAAATCCCTTTTAACCCCTTCCTCCTTCAGTCCCCCCTTTTCAAAGAAGTCAGTAAATTCTTTTACTACTCTTAATTCTGTTATAGTACATCATTATTCAGCATCTTCTCAAAATACTTATTGGACTCCAGCTTTCATCGTAATTGGTTCCTTTTCCATTCACTATAAGAATCTCCCGTACTCCTGCAACACCAAAGGCTACACCTAATCAAAATACACAAAATGATACCTAGCATTATGATCCAAACCATTGTAACAAATAATTGCCTCAGCCATCCTAAATTAGGTAACCAAGAGGTGAGCTTTTCCCATATTTCCGAGAAACCCCAGGATGTATCATCTTGGGCAACGATGTAACACCTTGGTCTTTTCCCAGATTTCATTCAAATCTGTTTCTATTCTTTTATTCTGGTTTACATAGGTGCAACAGGTTTGATTAATAACCAGGCACAATCCTCCTTCCTCAGCTAAAAGCATAGCTAATCCCATTCGATTTTGCTTTACCACCTTGCTTAAAGATTCTACTTCTAATTGTATTCCTGGTATGGCATCCAATGTTAAATTTTCCGGAGTTTCGACAGTAGCCGATATATTAACTATAGCTTTCTCTAACTCGCTTACTCCCAAAGAGGGGATTAACCATCGCACAAAGCTAGGAAAGCCGGTGCCTCGAATTACCAACGGATTCTCCGCTCTCTTAAAACGAATCCAGGGGGTTCTTAAAAGTCCCGTAAGAGGGGAGGTACCTTTGTGAATGCTTGCTCCAGGCGAAAGATACCGTCTAGTACAATGTCCTTTCCAGCTTAAAGGTAAGCTCTTTCTAGCCCTTCCGTCACCGCAAAGCCACCAATATCCAGGTCCCATGTTGCATCTTGGACCCTTGTTCTGTTCTCTACCATCTTCCCTACCTTTTTCCTTTCTTGGTGTTTGAATGAGGTATAAACTTGAAGTCAAGTTTAATCTGTTTCAATCTTTCCGCATCAAAAGTCCCTAAATCTTTGGCAGCAGGACAGTCTTTCATATCTATCCATGTTTTGTCTTCGAATCCTAAACAACGACCCAAAATCACTACCTTTTCTGAGAGCGGGAGGTCTAGGTCAAAACTTGGTCCTTCTCTTGCATTCCCCTTCCCATACACACGTGATCCATTCCTGTTCATTCCATTAGTGTAAATGGCCCAATTTCTAGTCGATATTCCTATTAAAGGGAGTTGTAGCCCACCCCGAGGGAGAGTATTGCGTATCCAACAATCGGATAAGTTCAGTATTCTTGACATATTTTCAGTTATTTGTAAATAGGTGTTTGTGTCCTCCTTTTGCTTCCAATACTGCAGATACCGTGTGGGACACCAAGACAGTCATTTTCTGGCCCAAGATAAATTTTCGGGCTTCCTGTATATTTAATATTACAGCTGCAATGGCTCACAGGCATCCAGGCCAACCCTTTGCAGTTGCATCCAGTTGTTTGGAGAGATAGGCAACTGCTCATCCATACGGACCCAGATCTTGTGCTAGTATGCCCAGAGTAATCCCCTGCTTTTCGTGAGAGAAAAGGAAAAACGGCTTACATCTGGGAGTGAGTAACACCACTACTTCCCTATGCAAACTTCCTCTTCCAGTGCCAGATCCTTCAGTCCTGCTCTTGCTTGTCTTTCACTGAAGCAAGGAACTCACTCCTGTACCAGGAGATAACCATCCCAGAGTGTTCCTAGGAGGATGGCAGGCCAAAGAATTTCTCTTCCACCATAACTGGGTTTTATGACTGCAGTCCCAGTACTGTTTCTGCAGCCTCCTACCTTGCCTGGCACTGGTTCTCACTTTCATCGGGGAGACTGGACATGATCTTTTCTCCTAGGTTCCTGATTGGCCGATTCCTATTCCACATACTAATCTTGCCTTGTGAAAAGATACTTTTTCCCTTAGCATAAAGGCAGGCACCAGGTACATCCCTGTATTTCCCTCTATATAGGAACATGTCGAGAGTCTTCGTGGTTCTGTTACTGAGCTGCTGAGCCCTGAACCTACTCAGTCTGTTAGCCTCTAGCCAAAGCTTAATTACCTGTGCTTGTTGACCTGCTGACTGTTCTCCACACTGTTCTTGAACTGTCAAATACACGTGGTGCTTGCTTTATTCTTTCTCATTCTGTCCTTTAAATGATCCACAGGTTCTTGGCTCTGCAGACATGTGCTAGGAACATTTAACATTCTGGTGAAAATGAGCTGGGCCTTTGTGCTAAAAGAGGCAGTTGGAATGGGGAATAATTTCTTTTGGAAATTCTTAAGTTTCTATTTATCAGTCTGGGGGGTTTCCTCCAGCCTGCAGCTGTGAAAATTTGTAGAGCTCTAAAGGTTATTTTGGCTTTGTGGCAATTAACTACAGAAAACACAAGGTTTAAAGCTCCCATTTTAAAAAGGAAGTGATTAATTTTTACTTATAGCTGTGGTAAGCACCCAGTACTTCATGAGAGGCATTCACTCAGATTTATGTAAGAACTACTTAGTCTTATATAATGCTTTCGTTGTGCCAAATCTTGAGAGAGTTAATGAAAGGAAGAATAAAAGCGGCAAGCGTGCATGACTGAGTTGAAACATGAAGTGTCCATCTACTGCTCCTATCGTTTTAGAAGAAAAAAAGAAAGGCAACTCATCTTACAGGAGAAAGTATAATTGCTTAAAAAAAGCATTGTACATTCCATTTTCTACATATGGTGTGTAGCTGAATTTGAAGCAGAGTGTACAAGCTACTTGGAAGGGTTTCCTGGGTACCTGCTTAGTCATAGATTCCTGCAGTGTGAACCAGAACAAAATGATTGTAGCAGACAAAAGTCTGTTTTGGAGCTCAGGGAAACCTTCCAGCAGGCATTAAAATAATGGAAAGAAAGTAAGTATCCAACTCAGTCTTTGTTTTGTTTCATTACATAGATAGAACAAGAACAGATTGCCAACTTAATGAAGAGCACACAAAAAAAACGAAACCTGGGCTCCTATTGAGAATGTAACTTTTTTTTGAACCCAAGCGTTCAAAAGCAAAGTAAATCTTCTGAGCCAGGGGAGATTCTCCTCTCTCCCCCAAAAAAACCTAAAGAGAAATAAAAAGCCAAAAAATGCTTTATTGTCATTCTTCCTTAGCATGGAAGTGGGATTTTGAGAGCTGTATTAGAACTTCTCTATGTTCTACCCATAAAGGCAAAGAGGCTCAAATCTAACTTGAGATAGTTTCAAGAGTGCATTGCAAGGAATGGTATCATTTGCTGCTTCTTGCAATGTGTAAGGAAGGTTAGACAAAGCACAAAATTTTCTTTGCTAGGGGTGTTTTGGCCACTTTAAGTAAATGGACTTTGACATTTGTCATGCGCCAGAGAAGGGTCCCTCAAATGCTAAAACGCAGAGTGGTTAGACAATATTCACATAAAAGCAGCTAAAGAAAACACCATCTTCTGAATTTGTGTGTGCTTTTCCTTGAGTTGCTAACTATAAAGGCCCAGCCCAATTACTTAGAGATGACAGCGCATTTGTTTCAAGGAGGAAGAGCCAAGATGGCCCAGAAGACAAGAGCAAAGAGAGCCTACTGATCCGTTACGTCATTAAGCACCTGTGGTTCAGAACACCAGCTTCCCTCCCAAATGCGCTCTCATAACAAGTCTAGGCAGAGCATAGCTGGGTAATATTTCCAGTACTTTATTTCCTTACCACTTGTCATAAAGGATGGACAGAAGGAAATGCATTATGAAATTACTCACCTGGTAAGCTCAGACAGGAGACAAACTACAGAAGAAGTCAGAGTATTCTTGCATTTATTGATTTAAATAGGAACTGTGGCACCAGGTGAACACAGACTGTCTCAAAGAGTTCCTGATTATGTTATGTTTTGAAATGGATTCCTGATGCCAAATGAGTTCTGTCAGCTTTCCTGCTGTCCAAGAAGCAAGGTATCCAACTACATGTCTCAGCTGCCCCTTTGTACACTGCAAGCCTTACATACAGCAGCACTCGTGTCTGCTGACACCCAAGTTCAGGAAGCATCTACATACTGAGAACTGGAGTACGTCTCTCAACACTTCCCACTGCTAAGGCAGCCGAGATCAAAAGAGTTGACCATGATTTACCCCTGCATCATGCAAGCACTTCTTTTGAATCATAGTCCATTCTGTCTGCTCTGGGGCTGCATTGTCAAGCGTATTTGTTTCAAAGCACTTGCAGCAATGCAGTGGCCCCGTATGACCTAGACAGCCTAATGCATCAGCTTCGAGCAGACAGCAGTGACGTATGTACCCTCATACAGACGGTGTTCCTACCAGGAATTGCTTTCCTTGAAAATACACACCACACGTATATTCTACAGGGGCCCAGTACAAAGCTGTATTAATAACATATTCATTGTGTATCTTTTGGAAGATTCTAACAATATTAGTATTTTATCCTGACAGCCTTCAGAGGCCATATATGCCTAACAGTTCAAAGATTTTGCAGAAAGGGAGTTGGTCCTGGTGCACAGGAGTTCAGTTAAGAGTTGCAGACCTGCCAGGATAAGCACTTTGGTGGCCACAGTAAGTTTGAGTAGGTCTGTACCACATCAGAGATAGGTAAAAGCATACGTTTTTGTGCCTTGGGAAGTCACAGCCTGACTAGCTTCAAAGAAATACAACAAGACACACTGGTATGAGCACCATTACAAGCTATAAATAGGGTGAGGGGATCTTAGAGCACATGCCAGTGTTACCAAGCCCCCTGACGCAGGCTTACACCACATCTTTGCTGCAGCGTGCTGCGGTTGTGCCTTCAGTGCTGCTGCTCTGTCTCCCTGAGGGTTACCTGCTCACTGCTTTCAGACTGAGATGAAGATCAGGTCACTTGACATAAAGTTATGTCCTTATCCATTGCTGGAATACAAAGATAGTCTTTGCTCTGAACATCTCCCAGAAGTGACAGCAAATGAAAGGACGTATTAGAAATGGAGTGGAGGGGAAAATTTCCTGTCTTCATAGCAACACTTAACAGTCAGGGTTTTACATCTAGTAGGAACAAGGGCATGAACTGAAGGCAGCAGGACAATAACAACGGAGCAGTAATTTCAGTAATAATAAAGTTGTTTAGTAAAAATCAATGGATACTACAAAGCTATAAAATAGCAATATTTTCCCATAAATAACTTAGGGTTCCAATCTCAATAACACAGCAAAGATTTGTATTCAAAATAGAGCACCTTAATTCCTTGGTTTAAAAGCCATACTTAATTTACTGCTATATTAATTACGTAGGTTTTCAGTAAGTTATTCTTGTAAAGAAAAGTAGCTGTGGGCCAGACAAACTACATCACAAAAAAATAAGGGTTAATAATCAAACTAGCAGAATCAAGCGCCAGAGACTGGGATATTTCTGCCCTGTCTTAAAGTGCCTGAATCACTCATGGTGAGTCAGCATCCTAACAGAGCACAGTATGAGTATCTCAGCTCTCAGCATTGTTCCCAAGCTTTTACTGTGGTGAAATCCCACTATAAGTCATGCTGGATGGAGTGGGAAGGAGTAAATCAGTCTTACTGTAAACCCGCAAATTCATCTAAGAATGTATTTCCCAGTTTCTGCATAATGGCAGTCCTCACAGGAGGCTGTGGTGGCATATATAGGAATAAAGACTTCTACACTGTAAATCCGTAACATTTCCAAAACGATTCACTAGAGCAGCTCCATACCTCGACCTTCTCGGCCAGCCTCCAGCACTGCTGCACAGTACATGTCCTGGAGCTGGAAATGCATCCCCTCGGGGCTGAGCGCCTCAGGCACAAAATAAACAGTTTCTGAAGTCCCCAGCAAAAGCCACGTTCATGGGTGAGAACAGAGGGAAGAGACATCCCGCAGCACTCTTCT